TGTCACTTGTCTCCTTCTCACACACAGAATCTCTGAAAGACTAAATAGAGCATGCTGAAATTGGTTTAATGAAAAGGTTTCTTTCAGACGTTACCTTGGGAAGTAAGGAAGTAGCATAAGGTCTACATCCCTTTGAAATGGGACTGGAAATTATTACTTATTTTGGTACAGAAGGGACAGAGTTGGGGAATAAGGGGAGGGGTGAAAAGAAAAGAATGAAGGTGCTGGCTGATGGGTGCAGGTAGGACTGTGCATGGTGCTCTACAGGAAAATAAAACAGGCTGTCCTTAGCCCAAATGGCTCATCCCCAAAAGCCATCCCAGCTAGTCAGGGGCCCCTGGGCAGCCTGTGCCCCACAACACCTCATGTATTGGTGATCCACCAATGTGAAGACAGGCTGAGAAAGTTGGGGCTGTTCAGCCTGGAGAAGAAAAGACTCTGTGGAGACCTCATAGCAGCCTTCCAGTATCTGAAGGGGGCCTGTAAGGACGCTGGGGGATGGACTATTCATTAGGGTCTGTAGTGATAGGACAAGGGGTAACGGGTTAAAACTTAAAGAGAGGAAGTTTAGACTGGATATAAGGAGGGTGTAAGGGTGGTGAGGCACTGGAATGGGTTTCCCAAGGAAGTTGTGAATGCACCATCCCTGGTGGTGTTCAAGGCCAGGTTGAACAAAGCCTTGGGTGACATGGTTTAGTGGGAGGTGTCCCTGCCCATGGCAGGGGGGTTGAACTTGATGATCTTAAAGTCCTTTCCAACCCTAACTATTCTATGATTCTATGAATTGAGAGCTAGGGCCTGCATTTAGGCAAGAAACAACCAAAATAGCAGCATGAGTAATGGAATTTAAGAACTATCACACAACAAAGGAGTCACAGCGATGCCCTCCACAGTCATTCCTGCCAGGCAATCAGAAAGCATTTTACTTCTTCAGTGATCTGAAGCTTTTGAAATGAATATACACTTTCTATTTCCTCCTCCTTCCTCAGATAACGGCAACAGAATACTTAGTGATAATCAGTACTACTGCTAATTTTGCATGGTCTTCAGTAATTTACTTTCCCCATGTCCTCATTTTCCCCATTTGTATAGTACAGCTTGTACCTACATCATAAGAGCTTTAAAAAGAGAAAAGGGATTTATATTAAGCATGATTCTAATCTCTTTTGCAGCATATATAAATAACTTCTGCACTGAAAATTCAGCCCTCTATTCTGGCTTATTTAGATCAGTAGATGTTTTTTAAATAAAAAAGTATTTAAAATTACAGAACACTTGAAAATAAGTTACTGGCTAAAGCATTTTGTTTTCTAACAGAAAATATTTGAAAGTACAAAATGACTTCATAATCACAGGCTGCACATAGCACAGCAGAGATCTGTTGAAAGACAATCCTAAGGAGGTGCCAAGATTTGATTATTCTTTTATTCCTTGCCTGTTATTGTAATGTTGGAAAGCCAGAGCCCTGAGAACAGGGAGCAGAAGGGGAGCTCTCTGTGGGTACTTGCCAGTGGATAGGGAGAAGAACCATCCCATGGTAGCAGCCCGGTTGGGAAAGGAGTGCAAGTGAGGAAGGGCACTTGGCTGGACCCCTCAGCTCTCATCTCCATGAAAGAAGCTGTGGTATTTTTACTGAAATCATATGTTCTCTGCAACTTGCAATAGTATTTGCACTGGTGCTTGGGAATGTCTGAACAGGAGAACTACCTTGATGTTACCTGCCTAGTGTGGCCAGTCTTGTCAGAGACGGCAAGCTGCTGACACAGTGTGAAAGAGACCCACAGAGAATTAGTTTGTTCTGGTTACAGGGAGTTATGAAGGCTGCTGCTTCTTTTCTAAAAGAGCTAAAATATCATCAGAAGCTGCGTCAGAAGCAAGAAGCATCCCTCCATCAGTAGCTTCTGCAGCAATAACAATTCCCAGCAAGCTGGGGCTGAGGACAATGCTGAGTAGCAGAGCTCCCTACCCAGCACAAAGACTACCTGTGGGAGAGACTGTGCAGTCCTAGGCACTTCAAATCCCTTTAGAAGTAGATGGTGAGTACCAGCTACCTCAGCAGCCCTTCACAGCTGTGGAGAGAGATCAAATGCATTGTCCTCTTACCCCAGGCTGTAAAACTCTTGTGTATGCTTGATCGTTCAGTTATGCCACACTGTGGGCTCCCTTCAGTGCATTATGCTTCTTTAAGCCCCATGTGTAAAGTCAGTGTTTGATAGTGAGGAAGCATTATTCATTCCTGAATGTCCTGAAAATACGATTGAAGTTCCCAGGATAATGACTAGAAACTTGAGCCATTTAAATTCAGGGACCTAATCTCCTGAAGAAAACAGACCTTTGTGACCTCATCCAAACCAACCAAACTAACCCAACCCCCTAGAAAGTTATGAAATGAACCGGGTAGCCTATTTTAACAAATTTTGCAGAGGTACAGACAATTCAAAGATATTTACATTCCTACAAGTTTTATAGCAGTTAGTGTGTAGCTAGAATAGGGACCCAACTGAGCACCTCAGCCAGAGAAAAGGCAAGCAGATCTCAGTTGTTACACATTCTGCTTGGGGGTCGCCTTCTGGCTCTCTCTTGCTCAGTGTGTCTATCACAGAGGACACACAAGGAGGCTGCAGTTACTCTGTGTGGAAAGAGAAAGAAAAAAAAAGGAACAAAAAGCTCAACTTCATAGGAAACCGGACTCCATTATCTCTGTTGTTCACAGAACAACTTGGTGTTTTTAGCTGAGACCACTAGAAATCAAAGCTTTACTTTTTAGTGCCAGAACAAATGGTTGAAGCAGTTGGAAATTTCTGAAAATACTAATGGTGGTAGTAATAAAGCACAGAAGGTTCACCCTGTGGTCTGGTTCTTGTTCTAATGAATTCTGAGTAGAAAACTGTATTTTAATCATGAAGTATATGAGAGTAGTTCACAGTGTTGTATTTTTATTATTATTTAGAGAATGATTCTCTTCACTAAACTCCTGAACCATTCAGGCAAAAATATCCACCCACTATTACCTCCTCTGACTCCAACAATTCAGGGCTGCACTATCACATGTTTTAGAACAACACTCAATCTATTTATTAAAAGCCTTTGTAGTCAGCTGGCAAACCGTATCTGTAAATAGCAAGTAGCTGTTCTGCAGCCAGAATTCCTCACACCACCGAAGGAAGAAGTCCAAGTCATTTGGATGACCTCAGCGACCCCAATTAACAGCAAAGCACTGAAGTTCATAGGCTCGACTGAGCTTACACTAACAACACTGTGTTCAAAGAAATACTGAAGATTCCAGATGTTTCAAATTTTCTATGCAGTTATAAAAATGAAATGACCTTTTCCTGACTTACGCAGCAAACCCAGAAATTAACCTGAAGGTTTTTGGGTTTTGCTGTCCTTGACTCAAACAGAAGCATGCTTCCCCTTCATGTTGCAGAACAGTCTCTTAACACTGGAGCCCGGTCATCCTCCACAGCCCCATCCAGCCTGAGATGGTTGAGGAAGCTGCGCCAGCAAGGCTGAAAAGCACTCATACAACAGTCCCCTCTTTCAGGTACTTTTGTCTTGCACAGGCAAGACCGCTGGCATCTGGCCCATCCCTGGCAGTGTTTGAGGCCATGTAGGACAGGGCTTGGAGCAACCTGCTGTAGTGGAAGGTGTGTCTGCCCATGGCAGGGGTTGGAACTGGATGAGCTGTAAGGTCCCTTCCAACACAAACCAGTCTGTGATTATGTGATTATCTGATCTGGACCTGCTGGTTGGTTTTTTTTTGTGATTTATTTTTTGTCTGTTCCATAGCGAGAAGGGGCACAGCTGGGAGCTTTGAAAGTAGTTCTCCCTGTATTAGTGCTACAGTAAACAAGTGGTTTCATTTCTCACACTAAAGAAGAAAAAGTAATCTATACAAGGTGATGGATGATTGCACTCACCATTTGTAACAAGTTTTAATAAAACTGGAGGAGGGTTTTTCCTCCCTACCGCATTCCAACAGCAGGTAATTTTTAAAACCTCTTCCAGAGTCACAGATGTTACATCCTTCTCTTTAGCTTACAGATATTCCTTTTTTAACAAGTACTTAAAAGGCACAGAGGTTATTTCTGTAGCCTTTTCAGATGATAAGATGGATACATCATTCACACAAGCACCAACTGACTTGCTATGAAAAACACTCCAGTGAACCTAGGGCATATCCAGGATTTCCCATCCTGTGCCAGCTGTGGCACCTGCATGGGCACATTTCAAGAACTGGCACTTTGCTTTGGGGGCATTTCCGACCGGAGGCAGCCTGGTTGTTGGGGTTGGGGGGGGGGGGTTGTCAGAGCCTGATGTGCAGCTGGACTGCAGTGAAGCAGCAGACACAAGCCCTGCGATCCCAGGACCAAGTGCACACCACGCACGCTGCTGTGCGGGAGGATGAAGGTCCCTTCCAACCCGAACTATTCCATGATTTTATGATTCTGGTGCCCAGGTGCTACCTACTCTCTAGTGGATGCATGACCGTGGTATCTGCACGTTTGAGCAGGCTGGGATTGGTTCACAGCAGTGCTGGCCGTGGGGAACCACCGCTACGCAGCTCAGGTCCGTATATAAATTGCATTCGCCTGTACTGGGGCTGTATTAGGATACCCGAGGTACCCCTCAAAGGAGGCACAACTCGGTTTACTAAATTACCTTCGCGGGTGCAAGCACAAGGCTCCGGGTACCCCGGGGGAGGATCCCTTCATGGCCGGGGGTTTCTCCGTGGGTTCTAAGGGGCGGAGGGCGCTGCCGATCACGCCCTCCCCGTCCTATCACGGGCCTCATGGAGGGTACGTGCCCTTAAAGCCGGCCCGGAGCAGCTGAAAGCGCATCGTGCTGCACCTTACCAGTGTCACGGCGTCTCGCTGTTCCCTCGTGGGCCGGGCAGCAGTGTGTTGTCCCGTTGGCGGCAGGCTCCGACGGCCGCCGGGCCTCGGGAAGGCTGCGGCAGGAGGTGAGCGCGGCTCTCCCCTCAGCAGCACGGTGGGGCCCGGGCGTGTCCCGCTGTTCCCTTCAGCAGCACCCGCAGTTCTGCCGCTCCGCTCCCCTTCCCCCGCCGGAGGTAATCGGGGCTGTGGCTGAGAGCTTCCAGCATGAGCACCCCGCTCGAGGCCGGGCTCGGCCGGGACCCCGCGGCTTTTCCGCCGCTTCCAGGCGTCGTCTGTGGGGCGGTGATGGCGGGGCCTCGGCGGGCGGGAAGGGCCCGGCTCGCGCCGCGCTCCTCAGACGAGGGCGGGCTCCCGAGCTGTGGGGTGAGGGGAAATGGCGGGCGGGGAGCGCGGCTGCGTGAGGAGAGGGGGACAGAGACGGCGGGAGGCAGAGGAAGGGCACATCTAAACCTGATGTGTGAGTGGAAGAGACGGCCGCACCTCACAACGGCTCGGAAAGCGTCAAAAAATGCAGTTGTTGGTAGAAGAAACTTCAGCCAATGACTTCATCTGGGCCCTGAAGGTGGAGGGAGCCTTTGTCCCAGAGGACGGGGCTACAGGAGCAGCGTTTATCGGATTTCTGAGCACATACCGCCCTGAACAGCAGTGTAATTCTTAAGTAAGACGTATTTTTAGTGCGTATTAGTTGTAATTAGGTTTAAACGTAGCTGAGGAAGTAGAAGTGCCAGGCAAATGCACGGCACTGTTGGCCCCTCTAGCTGGTGGGGAAGGTGGGCCCGTGCCAGCCGCATCTTCATGTCGGTGAAGAGCAAAACCCAGGTTGGATGTGCTGAGGTGTTTCCTAGAGAAAAGGCAGTAATTCGAATTGTGTGTGAAACAACCACCTCACACTTCCAGGTGAGGATAAGGGAATAAATGAGACACCTTGTAGGTAAGGGGGGGGGGGGGGGGGCGTTGCAAATTCTATAGCACTCCTAAGTGCTGATTTACAGTAATCCCTTTCATTTCTTTTCTAATTAAACATCTCCTGAAGGATCAGGCCTGTCAGTGTGATCTGAGGCCTATAGCCTAAAGTGTAAAGTGAGGCAGATTGCCTGACTTACTTGCAATGATAGAGTCATTTTGGAAGGAGATTGAAAATCAATACTTGTCATCCCTGTGCAGAGCTGTTTATTCAGAGGGGCAATTTGTAAATGTAATCTGTATGAGTGTAGTGGGAGCATGCAAAGTTACAGTACTAGTCATGCAGAGTGAAATGACAGGATATAAAATACAGGCGTATTGCCATGTTATTCATATTAATGCCAAAGAAGCTTACTCATAAGTGCAACATTTTAATTCAGTGCTGTGCAGTCAGGCCACTTGGTGCAGTTTTTGGCTTAAGCTGCAGTCAACAGCACGGGTACCAGTGTTTGACAGAATTTCTCTGTTGACAATGTCAGGCAGTATCTGTGTGCAGCCGCTCTCAGCTGCAGCAAGGCAAGCAAGGGCTGAAAAAATAAAACTAGGTCGACCCCACATATGCCAAGAAAATGGCAAACAAGCTCTCAGTGATCATGGGGTTTAGTGAAACTCCAAGAGGATGGCAGCACTGGAGTGCAGATGCAATCACAGAGGACAAGAGGCACTCAAGATCTTGTGCTTCTCTCAAATGAAGGTACTCAAGAGTGGAAGACTGACAGCTCCAGCTTACTCCAAGCATAATACAGTCAGGTGCCTTGTTAGCTTTCCCTTGAACTGTGTGACTTGTGTTAATCTGCACTGGTAACTGTGAACAGTTTCCTCCTGAATTTCTCCTGAACTGAGTTTACCAGTTATGACACTTACTGGAACAAATTAGTTAGGACAGTTTGGAGAGGGACAAACAGGCCTCAGTTACTGCAGTAAGGTTGTTCCGCTCACTTTTTCACTGAATTAAACCTAGAGAAGTGACCTGTAATTCTGGTTGGCATTGCTGCCTCTGTGCTGTTATTCATAGCAAGTATTTTCTCATGCTGAAAAAAATCTGACATCATAAAATGCAATATGACTTTTTTTTTGTCTGGAAAATGAGTTTAAAAAAGACACAATTACTCAGGGAAAACCCCATGTTTTATTTTGAAGAGAGCTCTCCTGAGAGCACCATTTCCTTCCCAAGATAGAGATTATAAAATGACTAAGGTTATGAAACTGGCCTAAAGCCTTCCTGTGGGAGGCCTGTGCCCAGGAATTAAACTATGGAGAGCATGGGTTTCTTGTGGATGTATGTTTTACTTATCTGGCTCAGAGTGAGTTTTAAATAGCTATGTTTGAGCATTCTTCTTGTCTTGTGGGTTTAGTCTAGCTCAAGAGGTTGAGTGGACAAACAGAAAAGGAACACTTCCCACAACATCACCTGCCAGAACTTCTTGATTACATTATAATTATTTTAAACAGTGAAAAGATTTCCTTGCTGTTGTCTTCCCATTTAAAGAATAATACTTTAATAACCAGACCTGTTGACAAAAGCAAGTTTAGGAGGCAGTGTAAATAGCCAAAGTTTTTCTAAAGCACAGTCTCATAAGATTCCCAAACCGTATCTGCTTGGGTGGGAGCAGTAGAGAAGCTCAGTGATGTGCTTCTTGGTGGTGCTGCATCCTCCTCCCAGCCCACCCAAAAGCAACTGGCATGTCATGTTTCCTGCAGATGAACCACAAATGGCTCATGTACAGCTGATGCACCCTGGCACTCAGGGAATGAGATTGCATTTGCCAGTTAGCTTGCCAGCCAGAAGCCAGATTTAATTTGGAAGAGAATGGTCCACAGTTGTTGCAGAAATAGCAAAGAGCAGATTTTTAATCATCCTCTGTTCTCCCTGTTCAGTCTCATCCCCTAATTGGTAAATGAGAGGCCCAATCAGCTCAAATCAGGGAAAAAATGTGTCTCAAGCAGCCAGTGAGACAGAAAACAGAGGTGCCCACTCCTTGATATCATGATCTTGCAGCTGTTTACAAGTCAGATTTAGCTAATCACAGGGTCCCAGGGAGCAATTAGTCTCTCTTTCTAGGTTCCATGTGTAAATTCAAGTAGAAAAGAGCTTTTTCCGCTTGCTACCCTGATTATTTTTGCATGCTGTTAACTATTTGCCTTTTTATCCACCAGAAGGGACATATAATGTCATTTTATATGTTTGTAGATAAACATAGCTAGACTGATCAGAAATTAAAGCATTTTAACTGAGTGTAGTAAAGTGCTTAGAAGAAGTAAATTTCACATTATGTTTTGTGTTTATTAATCATGGTGTTTTTTACCTCCCTGTTTTTCTTCTTTGGTAGCATGCTTTCCTTCAGTCTGAATTAGTTCCTTAAGCCCATGATCCTGAAAAATGAATAAAGACTGGCTCAGCCTCCAGACTCTCAGGAGCTTGACAAAGCCTTGTTTTTAGCTGACAGAGCTCAGCAGTTGGCCTTTCAAGATACCTGAATTTAGGAAACTTGAAATTGCATTTCACTTTTGGATTGTATGGCTTCATTGTGTGTGATCGTTCTTCATAAGGTGATGATCTGCTTTGGATGCTGCCCTTTGGTTCCTGGTATGGGACACCCTATTGGGGGAGGGATGGGATGGTAGAATATAGACCTGAATGCGTAACAGAATTACTACGTTCTTGAGCACCAGTGTTTAGGTCTGTTTCTTGTAGACTGATCTGCTGGAGCTCTTACTTTCCATCTTATGACTGAGCCCCAGGCATGTTGCACATGTTGACCAATGCTGCCTGTACGTTGTTTAAGTTAACTGGTTCCTATGAGCTTTAGTCTATAATGCACTGCTGTCTGCATCTCTGCCACACAGGCTCCTATCCTGTGGGCTTGACTTGTCTCCTTGGTGATTTCTGTTACTGCAGGATTATCTGTGGGACTGGGTAGCTGGAAAACATCTCAGCTGTTCTAAAGACTTTTATATAGGTACAGTTATTGTTGTCTTCACTTATTATTCTGTTATCTGCCAGCTACGCTTACAAAAGTGCATTTTACAAGCTGTGTGTGTCTCGTGTTTCTTTGTGCTTCTTTTCAAGTGGGTTCTCATTGGCTTTAGCCTGTCAGATCCTCTGGAGCTTTAGCACTGGATTTGCAGAAATACAGTGATGTCCTGAGGGCCTTTGTGCATGTCAGATACAGCCATGGGAGGACACTGACCTGGGCCTGTGATGTGATCCACTGTCTTGTGCTTTCTCTTGGAAAATGCTAGGTTTCTAAGAGCCATCAGTAAGCATGTCTTAGTTGAAAGCAGATTCAGCCACAGATAGGATTTCATTGCTTCCTGCCAGGCCAACTTTGAGCCTTGAACACTTGCCCTGAAGGCTGCAAAAGCCCATGTGGGTCCCATTGAACTCTATAAGAAGAGCCATCAGTGGCTGTATCCCAGAAGGTGGCAGCTCACTTCACTGCAAGACATGCTCAACACACCTTTCAGCCACCTGGGGATGCTGCCTGAAACACCTTTGAGAGGAGTTAGGGCTCAATGGCTGTCCCTGCCGTGCACTTGCATGAAGGGCAATGATACCTCCGTGGCAGCTTGGGAAGCTACCTGGAGCAAATTATGACTTGAATTGTGCTTTGGAGATGCAGTAACCATGGAAACCTAAGGGAGAAACTGTTTCTCAACTTTCAATGCCAGCCTGATGGTTTAAAAACTCTTCATTAATGCTTTGATATGTTTAGAGCCTGAGCACTGTATACAAGCTCTTTTAGGAGTAAACAAAAGTGCAGTGTATTAATAATAGAGGTGGGGTTTATGTCAGCAGAGCTGGGATCTGGTGAAGCAGTACTGTTGTCTCCTGCTCTGCCCCAGTGTTTCTTGGGCAGTAAAATGATAGTTTGGTTTTGGCTGGTTTCTCACTGGCTTGTGCCTCATTATGTGTTTCAGTTTAAAACTGGTGTACTAATATGTGATTCCATTAGAGCAGGCTCAAGTACAGATACACTGGCATGAAAGTAGTTGGTCTCTTTAGAGTGACCATGATATACTGGTAACCACATTAGGAAGTCAAACTGTTCATTTTTGAGGTGGCATAACTACAAAAAGTGTGTGCTGCCATTCAGAGCACACTTTAATTGCATGAAAACATCAGCTCTATATTCTATAGCTACCAGAAAAGCAAATAACAACAAAAAAAAAAGTTTTTCATAAAGGAATGATAGAAAATAAAATTGTC